AGGTGATTATTTGATAGAATCTGCAACCAAAGAAAGGGAGGGAAAGGTTGTAAATCTATTTTCACTTCGAAAAAGGAAAATTCAAAACCAAGGAAATTATTGTGATGTATATCAGATCATCCGCACAAATTTATAATGAATTTTGGATTCTGCTCATCAAATATGACCCATCTCTCATAATCATGAGAGGAAAAAATAGAGAGAATCTGTTGATACTATATGCATATATATCAAATTACAAGTTAGAATATACAATTTTAAAAACTAGAAAAACTAAAACAATGAGGAATTTAGTAATTTGTATAAAATTTTATCTTCATATTTTAGTACCTTCTTTATATATATATAAAGACTAGAAAAACATTAATGCTAGCTAACTTCAATCAGTAAATGATTAATATAATGTAATAAATTAAATAAAAATCTATAAAATAAAGAAAGAATAGAATAGTACCATGAGTATATATTTTTATGTTATTTTTGAATAAAAATCAAAATTTTATATCTTAATATCTTTCACTAAAATGAAACCCTACTTCTCATTGAAGAGTGGTACTAAAAACACTAAAGAGCTTTATTTGGAGGATTATCTTTGTTTTGGAGGCTATGGATGCAAGGGTCACTACAAGAAAATTGCCGTATAGCGACACACACCCTATAGTGACACAATACGTGTCACTAAAAATTACTTTTACCCACACAATAAATGTAATATATGTTGGTATATTGTTAAAGAGTGTAGGTATAGACTATAGTGACACACAAAATATGTTGTTAAATCTCATTCAAAATCAACACTAAAATTGTATGTAGCTATATGTCAAATAGGTATATACCTACATATATTATACCTATAGTGACACTTTTTGTATGTCATTATATGGAACATTTTTTGTAGTGGGTTTTCAGTCGATGTCATTTTCCCTTGTATTCTTATAATGGCTTTGTATCAAACTTTTTTTTCAGTATTTTCCTAAGAGCATTATCTCACACATTTTTTGGGTTCTAAGATTTTTTTTTACACTGCAGTGGAGACTTAGATACATTTTTCTCACTTTAAGCTTTTATATGATAAACAACTGTATTTAAGTTTTCAGTTAATTAATTCTATTAGTACAAATAAATTTATATTCTTAATCAATTAGAAATCAATTTTGATGTAATTTTTAGGATAATTATTATTATAGTCAACAAACATAACTTATCAGTGCATTTTTTTTCTCGTAAGTTTTATGGTCACGAAAGTATATCAAAACATTTCAAATTCATTTTATTATTTAATACCTTTTATAAAATGTTAAGAGATTAATAAAAAAATTCTACAAGAGAATATAATATTACTAGCTTGTTGGTGATATGTAGGGGTGATATCAGAATCTAAAAACTCAAGGGATTATGGCATATAATGAGTTGTAAATATTGCACTTGTGGAAAAAAAGTTGAGCATAAAGAAGATAAACAAAATATTTATTTTCTTTCTTGCACAATGCAATAGCTTTTTCCATATATGCATGCATTGATTTATAGATAGATGAGTGACAAACTATAAAAAAGAGTTGCAATTAGATCAGTAATAATACCAAATATTAAATTCAACGTTACTCTTCCACAAGACATTCAACATTTCTAGAACAAGACAACACAGTATTGGAAAGTTTCATATTTGATTGTGAACCATTTCTATAGAGAACACATTCCTAAGGAAATCACTAAGTTTACCTCAATAGTTTGCCTTTCAAGAGACAAGGAACGTGCATGAGACAGTCCAGACAAGAAATCAACGGCACTTTGAAGCTTACCCGAAGTATTATCTCTAGTCAATATAAAGAAACCAACGGTGACCTCATCCAACAAATTCGAATGCTCAAAAATTGTCATGTCAGTGACTGCATTATGTTGCCATGACAATTGCTCAAGCTTGGGTGCATTGATCTTTACCCAACTCTTGTCACTATAGCCATCAAAACACTTCACCAATTTTATTCTTTCAAGCTTTGCACATGAGATATCCAAACCCTCTAGCTCATAACATTTCTCTAAGTTCAAATCTTCAAGAGCCCTACACCCAACATGAAGATATTTTAACCCAAAGCACGCATCAAGATTCAAAGTTTTAAGGAGAGGGAAGGATGATTTAGAGAACAAATCAGGGAGAGAAGGTTGATTATTCAAAATGACTAGGGAAAGAGACAAGGATTGGAGAGATTGGAACCCGTGTCTCATAACTGATGATGGAGGCAAACGAAAACCCGATTTTAGTTTCAAAACCCTTAAAGATTCACTCCCAATAACACATCTAGGAAAATTGAAGTAATCATCTGTACACACTGTGGCTGCTTCAATATCAAGTTCTCTAACGTTATGCCTAATGGCCCTACGAATCAAACTATTTAATCGCGAAAAACTCAAACGCGCACGAAAACAAAGAAACCTAATATCTGAGTGCTTGTCACGAATAGAGAGAACTTGGTTGATGAAATCCATTCGTGATGAATCCAAAGGTTGTCTAGGCTTTTCAAACTCCAAAAGTTTAACGTTTTTTGAAGAGATTTCAAACGGGTTAAGGGTTCTAAAGTCAAGGTCGGGAAAAGTGGACCAAAGAAATTTCCATCTCTTAGAAAGAATGCTCATTTGAGCAACACATTTTATGGGAAGTAGGAAAAGAATATGATGAAGAACTGCATCAGGGAGATCACTGATTCGATCCGTGGCTGCTTTAGCGTCGTTCTCTACTATTTGAGCCATCTTCTTGCGTTTTGCGGATCTTGTTTCCATTGCATCATCTCCCTGTGCTTGCTTCTTTAGTTATATGATGATATCGATTTTTCTGTGCCTGTGTTAGTATAGGATCTTTGTTGTTAATCAGATTTTGAACTTTTCAAAAGTAAACACAGGTAAATAGGAGAGTTTGTTTTAGATTTGAGACATTATTCTGTTATTAAAAAAAGTCTAAAGACTCGGATCTAACCTCATTTTAACAAAGGCAATTGTAAAATATATATACCCAACTAATTATTAAATATATATACCCCTCTCTTTCATTTTTCTTTTGTTAATAATTTTACTTAATTACCCTCATTGCCTCACCTATTGTCTTGACGCATTGAGTTCCATTTATGGCAACAATCATCGTCAATTTTTATTCATTCGTACCATCATGAATTTTCTTCTTGTTGAATGATTCTTTATATGTTTTCCTTCATATTACCTAGAACCATGGTGTGTACTGATTTCTACAGGGAAAGCAACAATTTAAATGGAGCAAGAAACAAAACTTACAACTTATTGGCATAGTTTTTGGATGAGACCTCTTTTTAAGTATATAATGTTATGTGATTTTAATGTTAGAAGTCACTGTCTTTCTTTTGCATGTATTAATTCAGAGAGCCAAAGATATATTGTATATCTGAATTGAATTATTGCTTTCTTCCTTATAAATTAACCAATAATTTTTTTTTCTCTTTTCACTTTCTTCTCCTTCAACCCAATCTCCTCCTTTGCCTGAAAACCTTTTTATAAAGATCATTGTGCTTCCATAGTTCTACACTCAACTCCCACCACCAAACTCAGGTTACAACTGGGGACGGAGTCAGAGTTGTTTGGCAAGGGCCAAAATTACTTTGCCAGAATTGCAAAACTTAAAATTATCTAATAAAAATACAAGTATCAAATTTTATTTGAAATATTTATAATTATATATTCCAAAATATTAATTACATTGGTAGTATATCAAACATTAATAAAAAAATATTTATAGGAAAGATAAAAATATTTTTTAAAATCCAATATTACAAATATTAATTATCAATTCACATGCTGTAAAATATTTTTAATAAATTTATAATAAAATTCGACGTTTTTGTTTTTATATTTATTTAAAAAATAAGTCCTATTAATTATTCTTTCCAACAATAAAAGAAAAAACTAACAAGGTCATTTAATTGTAAATACAATTATTTATAGTCTTAAAAATATTAATGATAACATATGATGAAAGAAAAATATTAAAGTATAAAATGTATTCAAATATCATATCTAAAAGAAGAAAAAAATAAAATTATATCACTAAAAAAATTGTCATGCAATACATTCATCTTATAATCTTATAATAATATACAATATTTATTATTAAAATTATTTTTACTTAAATTATAAACATAATATATGTTAATATATTTCTAAAAAAATATAAATATAAATTATAATAAAAAATAATATATATAATTAAATTTCATTCATTAAAATTATAAATAATTATATATCAAATAGATTTATGTTTACATATATTATATTTTTATAACATTTTTTATATATATTATTATATGTAATATTTTTTAATGTATTCGTAATATTACTATTATAAATTGCACGCTATCGAGAATCAAAACTATAAAAGACAATGCCCAGTTGTTTTCGTGAATAAAAAAATAATCCAAAAACTTGTAATTTTTTTCATAAGAAGTATTCTCATTCAATACAAAGAGCAATATAAGAGTTTAATAAGTATTCATTATAACACACATATAAACATATAAGGATAATCTATTTTTGTGTGTATAAACTTTTGAATTATTTTACACTTATAATTACTTTCAAATTATTATCTCTTACTATTTTTTTATTTAATTTATGTTTTCTCCTTTTTTTTTCCGACAAATCTCTAACTAATAATCTATCTCATTATCTCTTTCTTATTTTGTTTAAGAGTTAATAATCATATGTAAACTTATACTGACAACCAATTATATCTCTTAATTATGTCATATTAATGTAAACATATTTACTATGACACAATTAAGAGATATAATTGATTGTGAGTGTAAAAAAAATCTTACACTGACAGTCTCTTTGATTAAATACATAACTACCTCTCCCCACTAATATATTCAATAAACATAAATTAAAATAAAAATATCTAAAACATCTTAAAAAAATTAAATATTTGAATTCTAGTGCTGTGGAGTGTAGATGCATAAAATATATATATCGGTATTTGTATTTAATATAGAGCGAAAAGAAAAGAAAAGAAAAAGGTGAAATGATGGAAACGTAGAGTGAAGCTAAGAAGATGAGATCCGAGAAGAGGAGATCATGGAGAAGGGATGAAGCGGGCGAAGAAGAGAGAGTAAAGATGGACACAGAAATAGACAAATTCCTAAAGAGGCTATCGTGCGCAGCGATCGTAGTGGCTTCTCTCACACTCCTCTTCCTCTTCCTCCGCACGCCCGACACGTGCGTCCCCCACCGCCAACTCCGCTTCCCCGGCTCCACCTGCGACTTCTCCACGCGCCTCCACGTCCCCGCCCACAAGCGCGCCCTCCGCCTCCGCTCCACGCGCCTCTGGGCGGCCAAGGTCCGCTCCTTCTCCCTCCTCTTCCGCGACCTCCCCCTCCTCCGCAACCACTCCCGCGTCCTCTGCGTCTCCGCCGGCGCCGGCCACGAGGCCGACGCCCTCTCCGCCCTCGGCGTCCACGACGTCACCGCCGTCGAGATCCTCGACTCGCCGCCGCTCGTCGCCCGCGCCGACCCCCACAACCTCCCCTTCTTCGACGCCGCCTTCGACCTCGCCTTCACCGCGCGCTTCGACGAGGCGCTCTTCCCCGCGCGCTTCGCCGCCGAGATGGAGCGCGTCGTCCGCCCCGGCGGCGCCTGCTTCGTACTCGTCGCGGAGTGCTCCGCCGACGAGGCCGACGAGGTCGTTCAGCTCTTCAGGAATTCGAAGCTTGTTTGGTCGCATAATGTTTCCTTGAGTGGAATCCGAATGACCGGTATTCTTATGAGAACTAGACTGAATTCTTCTTGATTTCATTCGTTCCTGCTAATTCTTATTTTTTCATTTATTTTTTGTGTATGTATATTTGTTAGAGTGTAATTTTGTTATGTTATTAGTGTAAAGAATTTTACATCATTAACTAATTTGCTATCCTACATGTGAGTTCATGATTAGGTAAATCGTTTATGCTGTGAACGTATTCTAATTGAATTCTATTTGTTACTTGATTTCATGTGTGCACTAGATAAAGTTTTAGTGAATTTGGGTTATGTTCACTGTTGCATCATCTGAATCCAATTTTGTTTTATATAAAGTTTTGTTATGTGAATTATTGTTGTAGCTCATCATTGAACTATGTTAAAATTTTGTTATTTTAATTTTAATATAGAAACTTGGATGTCTGAGAATCTGTGACCTTTAGGATCTCTAGAAGCATAGTAGTTGATCTTGATGAGGTAGTGTAACTGGAGATAAAAGTTTGAGAGATGATCTAGGTCAATGTTATGTAAGCAACTTGTAAAGACCTTCACTTATTCTTATTGGGACTGTTTTTGGACATTAATTTATATTAGTTTCTTTTACAGAGTTATAAGAATGATTTTATTTAGTTCTTTCCGTTATTATTATTATTTTTTTTACCAAGTTGTAGATTTGTATTATATGGCATTTGGGAACTTGACTTGGAACAAAAATTGAGATACTGATATTACTGTGCGTTTTTTACTTCTTCCTTCAATAGTTACAGCATATGAATGGCTGATGCACCATACCCAATTCTAATTGTTCTGGTTATTTAGGCACTTACTGTAACGATTTGGTCTGATCCTGTCAGAGAGGATCAGAGAAAAAGGTTAAATGAGAAGGGTATATTTTCATTTCATTTGACTTGCTTGTAAAGAAATACAAAGGAGCCTTTTATAGAAGCTACCTCCTGCTGGTACAGCTGTCAAGAGATGATTACAAAATAACAAACCATAACAAAATAGGACAGGTGGCAACTAGAATATTCTAATGAAATAACAGAATGATAAAAGACAAAAGAAGAGTAATATTTTCCATATTACTCTCTAACACCCCCCTACAAACTCAAGGTGGAGGTTTGTTAGAAAAACTCTTCACATTGAGTTTGTCCTGAAGAAATTGAAATCTGGATGGAGAAAGAGACTTGGTCAATACATCTGCCCATTGATCCAAAGCTAGAATGTGGTAAACCAAAAGCTGCTGGGATAGAACTTGCTCTCGAACAAAAAAGACATCGATTTCCATGTGTTTAGTGCGACTATGAACCACCACTCCTATCATACAGGCACCAGATTGGACAGTTCCCTTTGAGCTGATGTGTTATGCTTCAAATTATGCATTGGGGGCTGTCTTAGCACAGAGGGTTGAAAAATCACCTAGGGCTACGCTTCCAGGACGCTAGATGCTGCTCAAGCAAATTACACGACCACGGAAAAGGAACTTTTAGCTATTGTTTTTGCACTTGATAAATTTCGATCATATTTGCTTGGTTCTTGTGTCGTTGTTTTTACAGATCATGCAGATCTAAAGTACCTGTTGAAGAAGGCTGACTCAAAGCCTACGCTGATCAGATGGATGCTCTGGCTTCAAGAGTTTGACTTGGACATCAGTGATAGGAGCGGAGCACAAAACTTAGTGGCAGACCATCTCAGTAGGATTGAGAGAGCTGAGGACAGTGCTGATGTCTTGCCTGATAGAAAAGAATGGCACAATCTAAGAGGGGGGGTGAATTGGATTCAATGACCCTTTAAAAATTTATCAGAGTATTTTGGATCTTAATTTCAATCAAAACTTTTCTATGACAGAATTTCCAAATGAAGCCCTCCTAAAGACTTGTTATGAGAATATGAATGCAATGTGCTCACTTGATTACAACATAATGAGGTTCAACAATACTGAAAAAATAAAAAATGAATGTATCAACTAGGGAGGTTAAATGGAGTTAAACTCTCCAAGTAACCTATCTTAAAATCAATATACAAACACTAGAAAAAGCAAGTAAAGTGCCTCACAAATACAAAGGCAAAAATAA